TCAAGTAGAAAGAAAATGTTTTGAGAATGATGATGGCAACAAATGTACAAATGTGCTTGACACAAAGGATGTATGTATGGATTGTGATAAGAGTTGTATGATCCCCCGATAAAATGATTTTTAAATAAATAAATGAGCTAAGATGTGGCACTCACATATAATAACAATAATAATATATAATAATAAGGGTTCCTAGGGGGAAAGGTGGGGTAGGGAGGGGATAAAGGGAAGATGATATCTAAGAGTTCAAGAAGAAAGAAAATGTTTTGAAATTGATGGTGGCAGACATTGTTTTGTTTTAGTGGTGGCAGATATTGATCTAATTGAATTATGGATTGTTATAATATCTGTAAGAGCTTCCAATAAAATGATTTTTTTAAATGAGCATCATTTTTGGGGGGGGATACCACTAGTTTCAGCATAGTTCTAGGTGAGCATAAAATACAGTCACCATAACTGCTTGTCTGTTGATCATATTTCAATTATTTTTGAAATAATAAAGATACAGTAATACAAAGCATACATCATCTCTGCTTTCTCAAGTAGAAATCAGAATGCCAATTACTAATGTTCCACTTTCAAAAGAGAAGTAGAAAAGTCCATTTTGCTTCTAATAAAGTAAAAGAAAAGATTACTGGTAGATAAACACAGGTAAGACTTACATCATCTCTGTATTTTGACTTGTGAATCACTACTGCTTTGGAAGGAACAGTGGATTCAGGTTTACGGATGTTAAACTCAGGCTTCGGTCTGGTCTGTTCTTGAAGATTTTTCCACTCATCTAATGTCATCTCGTGAACTTGAGTTTCTTCTTCTATCTCCAACTCAGGAATTCTATAAACATATAATCATGAAAAATTATTTTGATGAGTATGTCTACTTTCTCAAAAGTTCATAACCACTAGCAACATATGTTAAGAAAATACTGAAATCAAATAGAGGAAATTCTGAAACAAGTTATAGAACAGTGAAGCACCAAAAGCATCTTTTGTCAATACAAAGTAGACATATACATCAATGAGATGGAGTCCAGAGTTAAAAAATAAACTCCTCATAGAGGGGTGCCCAAAAAAACGCAGAATTTTTTTTCAAAGCTATGTATTTAAATTTTTTTTACAAAACAAACATCACCTTTAAAGTACTCTCCATTACACTTAATACATTTGTGCCAGATTCTGTGATTCCATTCTTAGAAATACTTTTGAAATCCATCTGTTTGGATGGCTGACAGTACCTCCCACTTTTTTTTTCCTTCACCTCTTCCTATGTTGTCAAATTGCTGTCCTTTCATGTCCCTCTTCATTCGTGGAAACAAAAAGAAGTTGCAAGGAGTGAGGTCAGGTGAGTAAGGTGCATGGGATGGGGTAAGAGAGGTATACTGTTTTTTACCCAAAACTGGCTCACAGAGATGGCTGCGTGAGGAGATGCATTGTCATGGTGGCAAAACCATTCCCATGTCTGCCACAAATCAGGCTTAAAAAAAAAATCATTTCATTGGGGGCTCTGACAGCTCTTATAACAATTCATACATTAATTGTATCTAGCACTTTATACATATGTTGCCATCATCTGTTTCAAAATATTTTCTTTCTACTTAAGCCCTTGGTATCAGCTCATTTTACCCTCCCTCCCTCATGAACCCTTGATAATTTATAATTATTTTTTCATGTCTTACACTGACGTCTCCCATCACCCATTTTTGTGTTGTCTGTCCCCCTGGGAAGGAGGTTATATGTAGAGCACTGTGATCAGTTCTCCCTTTCTCCCCCCACCTTCTCCTTACCCTCCTGATATCACCACTACTCATTAATCTTCCTGAGGGTTTATCTGCCCTGGATTCCCTGTATTTCCAGTTCTTATCTGGTCTAGCCAGATTTGTAAGGTAGAATTCGGTTCATGATAGTGGACGGTAGGAAGCATCAAAGAACTAGAGGAAAGTTGTATGTTTCATCGGTGCTATACCACACCCTGACTGGCTCATCTCTTCCTTGTGACTCTTCTGTGAGGGGATGTCCAATTGTCTACAGATACAGATGGGCTTTGGGTCTCTACTTCCCCTCATTCACATTGGTATGATTTTTTTGTTCTGGATCTTTGATGCCTGATATCTGAACCCATTGACATCTCATGATCACACAGGCTGTTTGATTCTTCCATGTGGACTTTGTTACTTTGCAGCTAAATGGCTGCTTATTTATCTTCAATCCTTTAAGACCCGAGATGCTCTATCTCTTGATAGTCAGGCATCATCAGCTTGCTTTAAATTTGCTTATGCATCCATTTTGTCTTCAGCAATCATGTCAGGAAGCTGAACATCATTGAAAGTCAGGTTATTAGAATAATGTGTTTTTGCACTGAGGGAGTACTTGAATAGAGGTCCAATGTAAATCAGGCCTTTTGTGTCCTACACTGTTATATTATCTTTTCAGAATCTCTAAATAGAGAGCTTGATTAATGGCCTTACCTCGTGGAATGAACTCCAAATGTACTATGAATTAGAATTTTCATCCATTTGGGAAATTGATGGATGTCCAGAACGAGGTTTGTCATCAATTGACATATTACCTTTTTTGAAATGAGAAAACCACTCGCACACTTGAGATTTGCCCATAGTGCTGTCCTTGTAAGCCAGGAGTGTCAAACTCAAAGCGCGAGCCATTTGGTGTAATAGGCAAGATTCATGCAGGCCACATCATATTTACAAATTTTGTTAAATTTATATTTTGAAGTGAGGATTCAGGAATATGGATTGGATCATTACAATACCATATAATTGCTTTTATTTAAACATCTTATTTAATGTATTTATACAACTAAAATTATTCTTTACCCAAAACTTGACAGCACTTTCCTCCTACTAGTTTTCACTTACCTCTTATGTTGTGACCAGAAAATATAACAAAATAACTAATAAAAAACACAAAATGTTGGACAGCTGACAAACATGATGCACAATCATAATGGCTTCCCTCTAAAAATGTTAACTAGAGCTGCCGCTAGGAATGATTCATAACGGCACAACCTCAAGTGCTCTTTTTAACCTCTTCACTATTCGGGTCTGTTTACATTACATAATACTTGAGAGTCGCATGTATATCACTTCCAAACGTCGCTGGAACTGAGTCAACGTGTTTATACCCATCCATAGGTCCCCAGGAAAGGCACCAGGCCATGTGCATACTCGTCTTCAGCAGTTAAAGGGTTAATGATCTCCCCTAAGCGCTATTTTCTTCATAACAATTTTTTCTATTATCATTTTATTTCAGAGCATTGCAGGCCACAAAAAATTACCTTGAGGGCCACATGCGGCCCACGGTCCGCCAGTTTGACACCCCTGTTGAAAGCTATATTCAACATCACAACAGTTTCTGTGGCAATATTCCCAAGTAGGAACCAAAATATCACAGCCATATGCTGTTCTCTTAAATTGGCAATCACTAAAAAAAATGAGTTTTGAGTGAAACTGCTTTTATGAAAAAATTCACTGTGACCAGAGAGAAACTTCCCAGGCAATGCCACAGAGCATGTTGTTCAATGCTCACCTAGTGGGGAAAATGTGTACTACAAAAGTTCTGCTCTGCCCAGTGCAATTCTATTTGGGGTGGTGGTGGTGGGATGGCAGTGTCCCACCTCATATTTACAGTCAACTGAGTTTTATGACAACGGGCACCAAAGACAACTCAAAGGAGCAAGAACAGTCTTTTTTTTTTTTTTTTTTAATAAACAGTGCTGGAGCAACTGGATTTCTTCCTGTAAAAAAAATCATTGGGTTCCTACTTCACACAATCTATATAAGCTAAAGTGTAAAACTCTTAGAAGAAAGTATAGACATTCATCTTTATTATTAGGCAATGGTTTCTTAAATATACTAAAAGCAGAACCACAAAAAATACTAGATCTCATGAACACTACTATGGTTTCAACTGTATACGCCTCAAAATAGGGGTTGTACACCCTAAAGTTTATGCCTGTGGTTATAATCCTATTTAGAAATAAGTTTTTGTTATGTTAATGAGTTGGGAACCATATAGGGTGTGTTTAAGTCAGTCTCTCATAATAGAGAAAAGGCACAGATTAGGCAAGGAGAGAAAGGGGATAGCTTACACGTATGGGGATTGACTGGGAGCAAAGGCTCAGAGGAGGAGGCAGCCTTCCCTCAGACCCAACAGAGTGAGGGCCTTCCCCTGGAACTGGTACCCTGAGCTCAGACATCTAGCTTCCTGAATTATAAGAGACTAGATCCACTCACAGTATTTCTGTTACGGCAGCACTAGATAAGTGAAACAGAATTTGCTACTGGAAGAGGGGAACTCTGACAAACAATCAAAATGTATTCGAGGTGCCTAACAGTAAAACCTAGATTGTCTTGAAGGATGTTGGCAGAATTATGAGCACTAAAGGCAAGTATGGTGAGGACTCAGAAGGAAATGAGAGCTATAGAGTAGTCTCCTGTGTTAGAGAATATATGTGGTGCCAACAGTAGAATGTTACTGGAAATGTAGATGTTAAATGTGCTTCTGGTGAAATTATGAAAGGAAATGATGGACATGTGATTTGATCATGGGAGAAGGTGTAATACTTTTAGGCAGTAGCAAAAAATTGTCTGAATTATGTTCAATTATGTGGAGGCAGGGAAAGCTTGTTAGAGATGAACTTGGATATCTGGCTAAAGAAATTTCTAAGCAAGATCTTAAAAGGACTCCATGGTTTCTCCTTGCTCCCAATAGTAAAATTCAAAGAAAAAGAAATAGACTTACAAATTAACTGTACAACATGAAAACAAAACTTAAAGATTTGTAAAACTCAATTGTATAAATTGAAGATGTGTCCTAGAACAGTCACCAAGGGTGTGGTTTCATAATCCTTAGTTTTACAGATTAACTGTGACTGATGGGTCTACAAGGCTACCAACACCCAAAACTCCTCAGTATAGGCTGAAGGGAATAGAGAGAGCACAAAAGGATGCTTTCAGTCTCCTGAGATTCCACAGGCAGGAAACAGGACAAATACGTACATACTGGTGACTGAGAAAGAGAGAGAAGCTGCTGGTTCCAGGTTGGAGTTTTTTGTACACACACAAACATGCACGCATGCGCATCTGTTGGTTGTTTTTTTCCCTCCACCCCACGTCTGTGTTTTTGTTTTGTCTCATTTGTTTTACTATTTGGTTTTTCATCATTCCTTTTTTGTTGCTGCTTTGTCTTTTTGTTGTTGTTGTTTTATTCCTTTCTTGATCCACCAAGCATAAACAGTTGGTCCCACACAACCAAGACCTCCCCACACCTCCAACAACTTCAAGTTGACAGGGGTCACCACCCACTCCAGTACCAGTGTACCACCAAATCATTATATAGACACAAAAACATCACGATGTCTCAGAGACAACTGCTGATTTCAGTTCACACAAAGAAACAAGATAGAATGGTGATAAGTCACAAATATGTGGAATCAAAGATTTTCCTGAGAAAAAAGAGGCATTAGCACTAACAGGAAAAGAATTTAAAAGAATGACTCTAACATACTGTCAGTGGATACAGAAAAAGAGCTATGATGAAAAACAGTAAAAGCATTGGAAAACTCAGGAAAACACTTAAGAGCAATCTTACGAAATGACTAAGAAATTATAAAACATACAAAAATGGCAAATAGAGATCCAGAAGATTAAACGAAGATATTAGAAATAGGTGTTATTTTGTAAGAGCAAAGAGGTATGATTGAAGCAAAATTTGGAGGTAAATTTCTTAATACCAGTCTATGAGACTAGCAGTCTATCAAAAAAAAAACCCAAAATATCTGAAGATAGTCTAAGAATTATGTGGGAAAGTATCAATATC